TAAGAGGCCTGCTAAAATTATCAATCATAGCGCACATAATAATTGAGATACAATAAATGTTGTTAGATCCGACATAATTTTCCTTTTTGAAAATCACTGTGAATGCTTTCTCTGAAAGATGGATTTTGTTTACCCGTGGCTCGCGAATGGCGACATCAACAAGGCTTTCCGTATTTTTGTCTATTGTACTTAATCACGTTGTGCACGTAGCTTCATTCAAGCTGCACTATTTTGGTTTTGCATTACAACTTGTGTCACCGCCAGACATAGATTCCCTTAGAAAAAGGCTTTTGTATTGCTTGTTGCATTTCCTGTTACTTTGTGACACCTTGCTAATGACACCCAACCACAACAAAACCGCTGTCCAAAATTGCGGCTCTTCTTGGTGTAAAAGAGACGTGCTCAGGACTCGTCAAAATAAAATCAGCTCCTTAATCCATTGTTTTTATTGTTTTCCTTTCTACTCTACGGAATATGATCAGATTTTACGCCCTTTCGGTTAAAGTCGTCCAGGTCTGTGATTCACTTTTATTTAACAAACTGAGAAGCTTCGACTGTGCTCTGTTGTAAAGCACGCAGGGAGCGGCTAAAGAACGAAAGAAGTGTAGGGAGAAACACGAGACGTAGTCGAGTGTTTCTCCCCGCTTCTTGAGTGCTCTAGCCGCTTCCTGCGTGCTTTAAAACAGAACAGAGCACAGTCAAAGCTTCTCTATTTGTTTTATAATGAAGAATCCCTTAAATTCCCCAAGCAAACTCCCAAGCATTACTTTCAATTTTCAAAACAAACTTTATTTCCAAAGCGAGCAACAGTGTCGTCAGCATGCTCTATACTCTCATAAAGCACGCTACAATAAGCCAATCAGAATCCCTGTTAGAATGGTTCAAATAATCTGATTGGCTGTACTAGACTAAAGCTGTCAAAAATGTCAAACCATCACAGTTCACATTCTGCAATAGTTTAAAAACTTGAATAGATCGGCAGGTCGAATTTAACAGTTTTTTAGTCTCTAATACAGAATCTGAAGGTGAAATGTTCTGCGAAACTTGGCAGAAATGTGGCTCATAAAAACACGCAAGTTTTTCATATGACAAGTAGAAAACAAACCGTTCAAGGCGAGTGTTTTAAGAATGAACGACAGCCGAATTCACCGGAACATAAGAATCGCTCGGGATGACAACAC